TGTGCTTGTTTTTTGTTTTTTTGTGTGTGTGTGTGTGTTTGAGTGCGTGTGTGTGCGTGTGTGTGTGCGTGTGTGTGTGTGCGTGTGTGTGCGCGTGCGTGTGTGTGCATGTGTGTGCGTGAGGGGTGCCGGTGCGTGAGTGAGCGCGCGTGGTTGTGAGTGCGTGCGCGCGTGAGATTGTATTTATTCGCGTGCGCGCGTATGTGCGTGCGCGCGCTCGTGCCCGGTGCGTTGCCGCGCCTGCTGACGTCGATCCTATTTTCGCATGCTTGTCCATCTGTACATGTCTACATACAGGTGCGCTGCCACGGAAGCATCGCTCTCGCGCGCTGGAAGACGCCTTGAAACTCATACATGTATGTGTTCATTCTATTATTGGAAATAAATTCACCGTGCGCATTCCAGAGATATGCATGGACTTATGACACGTGGCTAGGAGCTCTACGAGGTCCCCGGCGGTAACCAGGTTGACGGTTTACCGCCGGCGCCCAGTTTCGGCCTGGCAGAGGTCCCCGTGCGGCGTTCCGCGCTTGGCTTCGCTATCCGGGTTTTGGACGCTGACAAAATTCCCGGAAAGCCTCGTGGGCTACGTAGGGTTGTTAGAGAAGAAGCCGGCCGGTGCGCGTACGCCGCCGCACCCTTGCGCCCACCGCTCCACGTGCCCTTCCGTGTCCGTTCGGGTTCCGCAGCGTGTCCCGGAGCGCCCGTTCCAATACGTTCCCGTAGAACGTGCTCCAGAGGCCTCGCGAAGCTCCCGGGCAGCGAGCTCTCACGCGTGCAGGCGCGCGTGGAAGCGTCGTTCTCAGCCCTTCAGGAGCGCGCCAGGCAAGCTTTCCAGCGCCACCACGCACGTTTACGGCCCTTCAGGAGCGCGCCAGGCAAGCTCTCCAGCGCCACCGTCTGCCTGAAGCCTGCTTGAGGCAACCTAACAAGCACCGTTAAGACGAAGACGCGCGCAACGCCAGGGGTGCGCTTGCGCAACAAGACGCGTCCGCGCGCGCGTCTCGCGCTTGGCTATCCGGGTTTTGGACAATAACAGTTGCAAACATATGAAGCACACGTGCGCGGACCTAAGATGCGAACCACATGTCTTGGCATTGCTTGGCATTGCATGAAGCACCAGGGGCGGGGAACCCGGGGAACCTGGGGAATCCAGGGAACTTCGCATTGCCTGGCATTGCACCAGGGGCGGGGGACCCAGGGAACCCCCAAGCAAAGGCCAAAGTAACAATAAGAGGCACGGGGGGCGGGGAGCCCGGGGAAACCCGGGTACCCGGGGACCCCCGAGCAACGGGCACCGTAAGAACACGAGGCACCAACCTTTGATCAAGTAAGAACCCCTTAGGCAAGCCGCATTGGGGAATAGGGTTTCAAAGGGAGGAGGGTGAGGAGGAGGAGGAGGAGGAGGAGGAGGAGGAGGAGGAGGAGGAGGGGGGAGGTGGGGCAAAGAGGGGGGGACGGGGCAGGGTGTGAGGGAGGCAGAGGAGGAGAAGGAGGAGGAGGAGGACGAGGAGGAGGAGGAGGTGCAGGAAAAGATGAGATGAGGCGAGGTGAGGTGAGGCAATCAAGAAGTGTGTCAGCAGGATGGGGCAACAGAGCGAGAGAGAAGAGGCAGACGGAGGCGTCGGGCGGCCGTCTCTGAAGCCGGTGAACGGAGGGGGAGGAAGCCATACCCCCCCGCAGAGACTACAGCTCCACAGCACAAATCAGATGACGTCACACAATTATCCTCGCCCTCCCTCTCGCTCCTTCTCGATCTCGCCGTCGTCCTCCTCCTTCTCCCCCTCCTCCCTCTTAGCTCCTCCCTCCTCTCTTCTCCATTTCCCCCTCCTCATCATCCTTGTCACCTTATCACCGTCATGCTAATCACAACTAGTCATTATTATTTCGGGCGCTGGCATAACTGGGTTTAGTGGGACCTGTCTTAGTGTCACAATCACATCATAACCATACTTATAACTATCACCATAACAATAGCCATGATCATGACCATCATCAACGTAATCATCGCCATCACCATCGTTACCATGACCATGACAATGACCATGATCGAGACCACGACCATGACCATGACCATGACCATCATCATCATCATCATCACCACCATCATCATCATCATCATCATCATCAGCAGCAGCAGCAGCATCCTCATCCTCATCCTCATCCTCATCCTCATCCTCATCCTCATCCTCATCCTCATCCCTCATCCTCCATCCTCATCCCTCATCCCTCATCCTCATCCTCATCCTCATCCCTCATCCTCATCCTCATCCTCATCCTCATCCTCATCCTCATCCTCATCTCTCATCCCTCATCCTCATCCTCATCATCCTCATCCTCATCCTCATCATCATCATCATCATCATCCTCATCCTCATCTCTCATCCTCATCCTTCATCCTCATCCTCCCCTCCTCCTCCTCCTCCTCATCACCATTTCATTACCCTCCATGCTCCCCCTTCCCCTCGCCGACGTCGCCGACCACAACGGCCGCGACAGAGACGACGAAAACGACAACGACGACAACGACGACGACGCCGACGCCCCGGAGGAGCTGCGTGGCGGCGACGGCGTGGCGACGGCGGCGGCCGCGGCTTCGGCTTCCCCCCGAGGGCCAGCAGCAGCGGCGACAACTGCACGGTCCACAGCCTGCCCCGCCGCGGCGCCCCGCCGGCGGGGGGCGCCCTGTCGGGCGGGGCTGGCGGCAGGCAGCCCTCCAGCTGCAGGAAGCACATGGCCAGGAACACCCAGGAGGGGAGAGGAGGCAGGAGTCGTCGTCCGCCGCCGCCGCCGCCGCCGCCGCCGCCGTCGAGGGAGAAATGAAGGGGAGAAGGAGGAGGGGGAGGAGAGGAGGAGGAGGAGGAGGAGGAGGAGGAGGAGGAGGAGGGGGAGGAGGGAGGAGGAGCGGAGGAAGGAGGAGGAGGAGGAGGAGGGATAGGGGGAGGAGGAGGAGGAGGAGGAGGAGGAGGAGCAGGAGGGGAGGCGGAGGAGGCGGAGGAGGAGGAGGGAGGGGGTGGGGAGAAGAGGAGGAAGGAGAGGGGAGGAGGGAGGAGGAGGGGAGGAGGCGGGGAGGGGGAGGAGGAGGAGGAGGAGAGGAGGAGGAGGAGGAGGATGGAGGAGGAGGAGGAGGAGGAGGGGGGAGGAGTAAGTGAGTGAGTGCGTGAGTGGGTGATATGGAGGAGCGAGCGAGCGAGTGAGCGCGTAGGGAAGATGGAGGGCACGTCGCCACGATGGTGGTGGTGATCGTCGCTGCCATCGTCTTCCACGTGGTAGTGGTGGTGGTGGTGGTGGTCGTCGTCAAGGCGGAGAAGGATGGAGGAGGATGAGGATGAAAAGGATGAGGAGGATGAGGAGGACGAGGAGGGCGAGGAGGAGGAGGAGGAGGAGGAGGAGGAGGAGGATGTGCACTGCTAACGGACAAGTGAGCAATCTGCCCACGTGTCTTACTAGCTTGCACCCGACCTGCCGAGGCGACGCTCTGACTTGCAGCCGCCCCGACACTCTTTTTGCACCAGGTACCTACAACGCGAAGAGCGGGGTCTCGTCGTACATATGTTGATAAACAACAACTTATCGTTCGGTGCACTGTTGTACAGTTGCACGTTGCAATACCTGGCGGGCGCCTACTTTTTCTTCTACTCTTGCCGCTGCCTTGTTGTACCACCCTTTCCGTGGCGCCCGCCAAGTACCCCTTGCGCCAAGTACCCTTATTTTTTTTGCTAGAGCGCCACAGTCGTAGCACTCAGGTCTGGCCAACTCCAAACGGAGGATGAACAGGATGAGGAAAATGAAAGAGGGAATGGAGTCGTCGTTTTCGTCATGGTCATCGACGGGGTCGTAGTGGTGGTCGTCGTGGTCGTGATGGTGGCCGTCGCCGTCACAAGAGGAGGATCAGGAGGTCGCCGTCGTCGTCTTTCGTCGTCGTCAGAAGAGGAGGAGGAGGAGGAGGAGGAGGAGGAGGAGGAGGAGGAGGAGGAGGAGGAGGGGGAGGGGGAGGAGAAGGAACAGGAGGAGAGAGAAAGGGAAGGATCGCAGTGCAATGCCAATACCCTTGAAGGTCATAAGCCTGTAGATTTCGGGTGGGGCTCATATGCTCTCTCACCCTTGAAAACCGATGCTGGTGAAGATTGGAAACCATCGCTTCTGATAAACCATAGCTTCTGATGACTCTGAAGGGGAAGAGGGCGATGTCGGAGGAGGAGGAGGAGGAGGAGGAGGAGGGAAACAAGGGGGGAGAGCTGGGGGGAGGGTCCAGGATAGATCAGAAGGGAGAAGAGATGGAGGAGGAACAGGAGGAGGAGGAGGAGAAGGAGGAGGAGGAGGAGGAGGGGGAGGAAGAGGAGGACAATGAGGAGATCGAGGAGGAGGATGGGGATGGGAGGAAGGAGGGGTCAGGGGGGGCAGCGAGGGGGAGAACATGAGGGATCGGCGCCAGAAGTACACGGGATGCAGAGCAGGAAGATGCCAGAACTCCCACACCGTGCCTTTCTCACTTGGACCTCCACAGTCCGGACCCCTCCCCAGGGGGCTGGGTCTTCTCACCCCGGGTCGCTTGACGGTCCCGGGTCCGGTCGAGGGCCCACGGGGGCCGAGACTGGGCAGCGCCGCCCCGCCGCGACTTCTTCACCCACGCGCGGGGAGGGTGAGGGGGAGCTGGGAGGGCGCCCAGCGCACGGAGTTCAGGAAGCCGCCGTACGCGTCCACCAGCCCGTGCGCCTTCGCGAAGGCCTTCACGAGCCGCGCGAACCTGCGCGCCCCGTCGTCCGCGGCCGCGCCCAGCAGCGAGCACACGAAGCGGTCGACCTCGACGACGCCGCCGCCGCCGAAGACGACGCCGACGACGCCGCCGACGGGGGCCAGAACGACGAGGATCGACGAGGACGAGGACGGGGACGGGACCAGGCTGACGAGGACGAGGACGAGGGCGAGAACGACGACGGGGTCGTCTTGGTGGTGGTAGTCGTCGTCGTGGCGACCTCGGCGCCGCCCTCCATGGAGTCGCCCATGGTGAGGTCCACGTCGGTGCCCCCCTTTGGCAGCGGCGAGCAGAGGGAGGGGGCCAAGGCACCCGTGGGGGGGGCGAGAAGGCTTCGGCGATGGGTGGGTGGGCTCCAGAACTTCGACGTTGCGCAACAATAGCAGCATCGCGAAAAACGACTGGAGCCCCAGACCCAGTCTTTCCGCGGCATTTTTCGGACTGGATCGACTCTTGAGGATCCCTGGGCCCGCAACTGCGCGGCAACGCCTGGCGTGAAAAACCTGCGCGGGTCGCCGGGTTTTTCCCCTGTCTCGTCCACTCGCGCGCGCTCCTCCCTTCGCTCGTGGCTCTGCCACGGCGCCCCCTCGGCTTTGCGCCCGCGGCCGACCCCCTCCAGGAAGCGCAGGCGCAGCACCGGCAGCCTGGCCTCGATGAGGCGGACGACCTCGAACCGGTCCCCCGGGGAGGCCGCCACCGCCCGCAGGTGCCTCTGAGCACATCGCCGGGCCGATGCCCGCCCGCACTGGCGCGGCCCTGGCCCCCACGGCGGGCGCGCCGCCGCCCCCGCCCGCCCCCAGAGGTGGGGTGGGTCCCAAGGCCCCACGGGCCTCCCCCAGATGGGTTGGGGACGACGACGACGACGACGACGACGACGACGACGACGACGACGACGACGACGACGACGACGACGGCACCGCAGGACCACTCCACACCAACGGGGGTAGGGGGGAACCGAAGCACCACGCCACATCCTTCCACAGGGAGGGGGGGTGCGATCCCATGGGCATGGTGTGGGGGGCTGTTCCTTTCGGGCTTCGCCGGGCCTATCCCCACCTGGGCGGGTGACTTGGTGTGGCTGAGTGGCCACGGCCCAGTGTGCATGGGGTTCGGTCAGACGAGGGTGAACGGTTGGGAGGTCGTGCCCAGGGGGCGAAGCATCGAGCTGGAATCGGCGGTACATCGTCGATAGATCAGCGATAAGCCCCCGACAGCGAATCCGCACCTTCCTGAGCGGGGGGTTTGTCGGGCCCCTATCGGCGATCAGTGGGCGTTTGAGGGCCGGTGCGTCACCCCCTGAGCCCTCTGACCCCCGACGTCATCCCTTCTTCGCAGCGCCGACCCTCGGAGGTCTCGACCCACTCCCCCAAGGACGGGCTTTTCATCCCGGATCGTTTCGCTTTCGAGGGGGTCCCCAGGGGCCCCACGAGGCCGAAGATAGCAAAAAGCACACCTGTCTTAAAACACGTGTGCAGCTGTGCATATATCATGTGTTCCATCTTCTTGCTTCAAAAAAGAAGAAAATAAAAACGCCAACAGAAACGCACAAACACGACGCGAGGTGGGCTGGGCCTGTCCCTCCCCGACGATGCCCACCCCGGGCATGCCTCAGCTGCCTCTCCTTGTCCGTCACGTGGAACTGCGTGAAGGACATGCGCACGTCGACGTCCGAGCTGCGCAGCGCGGTGCCCTGCTCGCAGGAGCCGAACAGCTCCAACACCACCTCTCGAGTGCGGGATCGACTGCAGACTTGATTTTACCCCCAAGATTGTGTTTTTTCCGTCGACTCCATGGGTAGCGTGACGAAATCTCGTCGATCTAATTACGCACATTCGATGTATTCGTTCGTAGATCTGACGTGGAACCAAAGTTGGGGCAACTCCATTCTGCACTCGATCCCCTCCTCGAGCCCCTCGGGCGTGAGGGGAGCGTGCCCCGAGGGAGTAACGGGCCCTGGAACCTGGGGTGAGACGACGGCAGAATCGAGACATCGTCGCACAGATGTGAATCTAGGGGGACAAAGAGTGACATAAGCATAAAAACTCGGAGGTCCGCGCGGATTGCTCGGATCGGCGCTGGACCCCCCTCCCTGGCGCGCGGAGCGCGCCAGGGGCGGCGCCGGAGGCGCCGCCGGGGGGCCCCAGCGCGGATCCGAGAAGTCCGCGCGGACCTCCGAGTTTTTATGTTTATGCCACTTTTTGTTCCTCTGTTTTATGTTTTTATTTATGTTTATGTCACTTTTTGTTCCTCTATCAATTTTTATGTTTATGACACTTTTTGTTCCTCTAGAATCGGAGACCTATGGGAATCGGCGGGTTTGGGGGATGCCTCGGGCGCCGCGGCCGCCTCCGAGCGCTCCAGAACGCCCCCGAGAGCGCTCCGGAGCGCTCCGGGACGGACTTTTATCTCGAGCCCGGGCCCGTCCGAGGGGGGCATCCCCCCCAGGATCGGATGCTCGTCCAGGCTGCGAGGCGGGGGCTTCTCCAGGGCATCGCCGCCAGCATGGGGGGATCGATCTTCGCGGGACCTGAAGCCGCGGAGCGGCTGCCCAAGAACCAGCAAGCAGACGGGGACGGGGACGCGATGATGGCAGGAGGAGGAGGACGAGGAGGATGAGGAGGAGGAGGAGGAGACAGGCGGTGGATCTGGGCAGCTGTGCCCCGCCCCAGAGCCCCGAAGGTGTCCAGGTGCAGCCCTGCCGAGGTCCACGAAGCTTTGGCGGTGGGCAAGCCTCCCTTTCGTAGACCTCCCCTTCGTGAGAACGGCCTGGGACCCGAACCGGCGGACCTGGACCCCCAAACATGACGGCCGCGGCGCCCCCTCGCGAACCGAAAACGGCCAATTCCCTAATCGACGTGTCAGGGTAGGAGGAGGAGGAGGAGGAGGAGGAGGAGGAGGAGGAGGAGGAGGAGGAGGGGGAGGGGGAGGAGGAGGTGGAAGTGGTCTATCCACTTCCGAAAGATCGATCCCCCAGGCGGTGGTCACGGGCGAATCCCCGTCCCGGGACGGGTGGCTTCCTCACGGCCCACGGGCGCGGGGAGAGCCCGAGGGAGCCCCAGAGCGGTGGCCAGAGCCGCAGGACCCGCCTCCCCTCACGAGACAAAGCCGCGTCCCACGACTCGCAGCTCAGTGCTCGCAGATGGGCTGGATGCGGCATCGCGAGACGATGCTCGCGTCGCCGCGCGCGCGCATGTAGCGCGGTATCCCTTCCGCAGTGCGCTGCAGCAGATAAGGAAACGAGCGGGGGCGCAAGTGAAGCGACAGATGGCGGGCGAGAGGGAGGAGGAGGAGGAGGAGGAGGAGGAGGAGGAGGAGGAGGAGGAGGAGCAGGAGCAGGAGGAGGAGGAGGAGGAGGAGGAGGAGGAGGAGGAGGAGAGCGACGACGAGGAAGAGGGCGAGGCAGCGGGTCCTATACGCCATTGGGCCCGCTTCCTTCAGAGTCGGCGCCTCGGGCGACCAGTCGAACGGGGCCATGCGGAACTCCGGCCCGGACAGGGCGCCGGAGCAGGCGGCCCCCAGGGCCTCGAGGCACCTGTGCGCCGTGGCGGCGAGCTCCGCGCCGGCGGCGCAGCGGTCGTGCACCGCCTCCCCCAGGGGGGTGGGGGGCGTAAAGGTGGGGCAGGGCAAGCGTTAAGCCGGGCCTGTCCCTCCACAGGGGGAATTTTCAAAAATAGTCAAAAAATAGTCTAGCGACAATTTTTTGACCATTTTTGGGTATTTAAACATATTGTTTGACTATTTTTTATTTGTCGTCCAAAATCCTCCTGTAGGGGGACAGGCCCGACTTAAGGCAAGTGGTGGGGTTCGAGGAACGTCGCGCTGGACGGCCCCCGGGGGAGTTTTTTTTTGTTTTTGTTTTCCCGCCTCAAGCTGGGCTCCCTCTCTCCGACTTCGCTTTGGGTCAAACCCCCTCCCCTCTACGGTCGGGAACTTCTGCTTAGCGTGTCGCGGCGGCGGCCTGGGCGACGCGCTGTGCCCTGCGAGCGGACAGCGTGTCGCTCCGCTCCGTGGGGCGGGAGGGGAGGCTCGGAAAGGCTCGGGACGTTAAAGCCTGGGGGGGCGCCGGGAGGTGGAAAGCGTGTCGCGCCGAAGCGTGGTGGGCCAGAACCCGCGACACGCTACCCGACAGTTCCCGAACCCTCGACTGGCCCTGGGCAAGAGGGGCCCCTGGCGCGCGGAGGAGGAGGAGGAGGAGGAGGAGGAGGAGGAGGAGGAGGAGGAGGAGGAGGAGGAGGAGGAGGAGGAGGAGGAGGAGGAGGAGGAGAGGAGGAGGAGGAGGAGGAGGAGGAGGAGGAGCTTTAGGGGGCCGAAGGGTACAGGCCAAATCCGGGCGCGCAGGCCAGTGCTGGGGGGGACACCCCTGCCAGCCCGCACCAACGCTCCCCCCGGCGAAGGGTCACTCTCACAGCCGGGCGGCCGACGAAGGAGCCCTGTGCGTCGGGGAGGGGCTCAGTGTTCCTGCTCCTGCTCCTCCTGCTCCTCCTCCTCCTGCTCCTGCTCCTGCTCCTGCTCCGCCTCCTCCTCCTCCTCCTCCTCCTCCTCCTCCTCCTCCTCCTTCTCCTCCTCCTCCTCCTCCCGCACCAACGGTCCCCCCGGCGAAGGGTCACTCTCACAGTCGGGCCGCTGACGAAGGCACCCTGTGCGTCGGGGAGGGGCTCAGTGGCCCTTCACGCTTGCGCTGCAACCTTTCTCTCGCGTTCCCTATGGGAGCCCGAGACCTAACGTAAGGGGCCTCGCTCCTCATGCAGGGTTCCTCCTGGCAGCGCTTCGACTGCACGCGAAGCCGGGGCCCTCGCGCCTCCAGCGCGCGCGTGAGGCCGACCCGGCGCTGGGCCCAGCCAGGGGCATCGCCGGCGCGTGGCGCGGCGCGCGGGGGTGCCAGCACCCGCCGCCCGACTCGGGGGCAGGGGCTCGCGGAGCGCTCGGAGGTAAAGGGGCAACGGCAGGGAGGGGACTGGCGTGGGGGGGCTGCATCGGCCTGGAATCGGCGACGCCTCGATCGACAGATCGGCGAGAGGTCCCCGAGAGCGCGCCTGCGCCTTCCTGGGCGGGTCGGGGCCATCAGGCCCCCATCGGCGATCCACGGGCGATTGGGAGTCGATGCATCCCCCCCTACACTAGGAGCTCGACCACAAGAAACCTGCCACAGGAAACCCGACCCTGAGACCCCAGGACGTCCATTGACTTTTGGGTGGGGACGTCGCGCCGTCCACAATTTGGAGAACCACCGAAGCCCGCGAAATCCTGGAGGCGAGCAGGGTGCTTCTCGGCATGGGCTTCCGCCATATGGAGGAGGAGGAGGAGGAGGAGAAGGAGGAGGGGGAGGAGGAGGAGGAGGAGGAGGAGGAGGAGCAGGAGGAGGAGCAGGAGGAGGAGGAGGAGGAGGAGGAGGAGGAGGAGGAGGAGGAGGAGCAGGAGGAGCAGGAGGAGCAGGAGGAGGAGGAGGAGGAGCAGCCCCCCCTGCCGCTGCCCCTGCGGAGGCGCAGCGCCCGGCCGCGCCCTCCCCGCCCGCGGCGCCGCCGTCCGAGCCCGGGGCGGCGCCCGCGGGGCGCTCCTCGCTCCTCGCGCCCGAGGGCGCGGCGCGCGCGGGTCCGCCGAGGATCTCGCCGAAGAGGGCCTGCAGCTCCTCCGCCCCCAGCGGGTGCCGGCGGCCGCCCGCCGCCGCGCGCGAGGCCTGCTTCTGCTCCGTGAGCGTGCGCGGCACGTGCCCGGCGACGCGCGCGCCGGCGGCCTGGCTGGCCAGGGCGCGGATGACCTTCGCGTTGGCGGTGGTCGTGACCATGCCGTGCGCCGCCCCCGCGCCCAGCACGTCGAGCGTCCTCCCCGGGCCCCCTCGCGTCGTGAGAAACATCACGGCGGGAGGCTGTTCGCTATTTTTTCGGCCTCCAGGGGCCCTTCCCGGGGCCTCGGGACCGTCGAAAAACGACTCAGGACGAAAAGCTGGTCCTGGGGAAAGGGTCCCGGCCTCCGGAGGTCGACGCTGTGACAAAATCACGACGCCGGGGGTCTGGGCCTCGGCGGTGCGCAGGAGGCGCCGGGGCCCTCCGAGGGGCGGGGTCCTCGGGGCGCGTGGCCGCAGAGAGAGGTGAGGGGCTCGGCTCCGGGCCCTTCGCTCAGCCGATCGGGCCCCAGGCCCGCGGGACCTCAGCTCTGCACCCCCGCCGGCTGCACGTGAGAGCGGCAGCCGGGCAAGGGTGGCCTTTGGTGCGCGGCGTCAGGGGGGGCGCGGGGGGGCCGAACCGAGGCGCGCAGGCCGCTGCGATCGCCGCGCCTTCGGCGATCGGGGGGGGGCCAGTGGGCCCGCGCCAGAGGTCACTCCGGCGAAGGGTCACTCTTCCCTGAGGTCTCATAACGTCCAAATTGGACGCCAGAATGCTGGCGTCCAAATTTGGACGCCAACGTCCAAATTTGGACGCCATGACATGCGCATTGCATATGATAGTATGTAGTAGCTTATGGTTATGTGTTGCTACGTGCTCCGTTCAATGCTTGTGTTGTTATGTTATGTTAGCGCCATGCGGTTCGTGTGCCTGTACGTGTTTTGAATGAGGACCACAGCAAACGTCCAGTGCGTATAAAGCTAACGCATCGAATATAAATCAGATTTGCAGCGTGCGGGATGGACTGGGATGGTGAGAACTGTATCCTTACAACCACGAAACAACATAAATGACGAGAGGCCCGACGAGAGAACACCGAATATCAAATGCCATCATGGGCAGAATCAGGGGTTCCTAGTGAGCGCGTGAAGAACACAAAAACAGAGGAGGAAGATGAGGAGGAGGAGGAGGAGGAGGCGGAGGGGGGGGAGGGCGAGGAGTGGACGGAGGAGGAGAAGAGAGAGACAAGGAAACAGAGATATAAAGAGAGGGATACAGAGAGAGAGAGAGAGAGAGAGAGAGAGAGAGAGAGAGAGACAGAGAGAGTGCAGGAGAAAAGGATGAGCTTGACCATGCGCGGAGATCTCTCCTCGAGGAGGGGGGGGACTACGAGGCCACATCCTGCGAATTCTTGACGCTTCGCGTATCTCCACCAGCCCATCCAGAAAGATCGGCAGGGGGGCTGGTGAATCAGGGACGGCAGGATGCATGCAGTCGTGCAGCCGTCTTCGAGAAAACAAGGATCCCACATAGCTTCCAGCGTTGAAGTTTAAGATGGAAATCCGTGCAAGCTACGATGGTGCTTCGATGAGGGGTGAGGGGTGCTTCGATGACTCAATGGCTGTTGCACTGATTTGTATGTTAAATTCGCGTGCGTTCCGTAACTTGGAGGCATCTTGGGGCTCAACTTGGGATTATCGTGGGCCCCTCCTGGGGCCTCCTGGGGCTCTGCCTTTGGGCTCTCCTGAGATCCTGTTAGGGCCTTCTTGGGGCATATGTGTGCTCTGTTTGGGCGTCTTGGGGCTCTTTGGTGGGGCCTGGGGGCCTTCTTGGGGCTCGGTTGGGATGCCCGAGGGGCCTCTTGGGCCGTCTTGGTAAACCTCCCAAGCAGGGAAAGGAAGGCGGTCGGAAAAGGACGCGCCCTAGACCACCCGCGCCCAGAGGGCTGGTGGGATTTCTTTGGCGTCATCAAGCCGTTGTCTTCCATCCTCAGCTGCTTTCTCTTCACCCTCTTCTCTGAAGCTTGTTTGGCTCATGCTCGTCGAGTGGCTTGGGAAAGTGCCCAAGGAGAGCTGTCTCACTCCTCTCGGGCGCGCGTTCGCGAACGCCCAGGCCATGTCGCAGACGGCACGGCCCCTCGAGAGCACAGTTCGTGACTCAGCGACGCCGCCTCCCGACAACCAGGCGGGCATGGACTCCTGGGAGCGACAGCATCCAGAGCTGGCCGTGTCATCGGCGGCGGGTGGTGAGCCCAAGTCACCGGAGTCCCCAGAGGTCGAGATCACAGCTGTGACGCTGGCCCCTGGCAACGCTGCTGGGAACGACGGCCGCATGCAGGAGGAGTGTGATGATGTCGTCATGAGTGATGCGGCAGTCGAGGCCATGAGGGATGACGCAGCCGAGGCAGCCGAGGACGACGTGGCGAAGGATGGCCCAGCGTGTCAGCAGTCGCAGCCGTCCACTCCACAAGCTGTGGGCGCTACTGATGACGCTGTGCACGGTGCTGGTCGTGAGGTGCGTCATGATGAGAGCCGATGGGACGAGTGCGAGCGCCCGCCAACCACACCACCAGTTAAGAATTCATTGAAGGCGCAGCTCGAGCAGTCCGAGTCGGCGCTGAAGGAAGTGGCCGAGAATGCTGGCATGGACTGGACTGTTGTGAACAAGCACCTGGCGACCTTCCACAACTCTGGCGTGATGAAGATGGCCGCCGCCATGAAAGAAGCAGACGAAGAGGTCTCCATGACGAACCGTGCTGATCCAGATGAGTGGGCATTCTGGCGGAAGTACAAACAATCGAATTTCGAGTTCAGTGCGAAGGGGAAGGCCGGCAACCCCATGGCGGGGCGCTGGCAGAGGGCGATTGCTGGGAATAAGGATGGTGTCGCAGATGAGTTCAAAAAGTGGAAGGATGATGGTAAACCTTTGAGCGATTTTCGTCAGAAATGGGCAGCTGGAGAATATGACAAGTACAGGAACACCTTGAAGCAGGTGAGCTCCTTCACGCAGGAGTTCTTCAAAAAGGGCGAGTACCTAGCGGTCGGGAGGGTGGCGTGGCTCGAGGGTGGCGGAGATCAAGGCCGTCAGAATGCCATCACATACGCCACCAAGGCGATCCAGATGGGCCCTCCATGGATATGCTACGACGAGATGACGGAGACCATCAAAATATTATACATCACGAAGGGTTTCAGCGAGGTGATCTCAGAGAACTGGTCGAGGCACCAGGAGTGGATCTCCAACGTGCAGGACTGGCAGCATAAAACGCACGCGCACACAGCTCTCTGGAGGTGAACGAGGGTGAGGAGGAAACGCAGTGGGAGAGCTCGGAGGTGGATGAGGATGAGCATGAGGAAGATGATGAGGATAATGATGATGCGGATGCGCACACATGAGTCGGGACAGGAGGAGGATAAGGAGGATGAGGAGGACAAGCACGGTGAGGATGAGGACGAGCAGGAGGATGAGGAAAACGCTGAGGATGAGGATGGCGATGAGGAGAACACGAGGAGGAGGAGGAAGAAGAAGAGGAAGAGGAGGAGGAAGAGGATGAGGACGAGGGGAAGACGGGATCCGCATCCCGAGGAGTCGGCGCAGACGCCGCGGCCACCGCCGGCGGAGGCGCTCGGGGACGGATGAGGGGGGAGGCGGCAGAACTACTACTACTACTACTACTACTACTACTACTACTATTACTACTACTACTACTACTACTACTACTACTACTACTACTACTACTACTACTACTACTACGACTACTACGACTACTACGACTACTACGACTACGACTACTACGACTACTACGACTATTACGACTACTACGACTACTACGACTACTACGACGACTACGACTACGACTACGACTACGACTACTACTACTACTACTACTACTACTACTACTACTACTTCTCATTCTTCTACTACTCTGCTGCTATCCCGCGATCGTGGGGCCGTCTTGGGGCCCTTTTGGGCCCCTCTTGGGGCTATATTGGACCGTCGTGGGGCCATCTTGGGGCCTCAGTGAGGCAAAACCACGAGAAGGCACACACATTGACTGATCATGATGAGGAGGATGATGATGATGAAGATGCTGATGAGCATGATGATGAGGATGATTGGGGTGATGCTGATGATGATGCTGCTGCTGATGATGATGGTGATGATGATGATGATGATGATGATGATGCTGATGATGATGCCGATCATGATGACGACGAGGAGGGGGAGGAGGAGGGGGGATGAGGAGGAGGAGGAGGAGGAAGAGGAGACTGAGGGCGAACGAAACAAACGAGCGGAAGAGGGGCAGGAATACGATAGGGGGAGCAGGATTAGGAGTGAAGGTAGCTGATGTCGAGAAGGTAAGGGGATGGGGGGATGATGAGTCGTATTAGTAGTACTAGTAGTCGTAGTAGTAGTAGTAGTAGTAGTAGTAGTAGTAGTAGTAGTAGTAGTAGTAGTAGTAGTAGTAGTAGTAGTAGTAGTAGTAGTCGTAGTAGTAGTAGTAGTAGTAGTAGTAGTAGTAGTAGTAGTAGTAGTAGTAGTAGTAGTAGTAGTTGTAGTCTAGTCAGCGGTAGCCGTAGGTAGTAAGTAGTAGGCAGGTGCAGTAAGTCGTAGGTCGTTTGTAGTTAGTAGTAGTAGTAGTAGCAGCCGTAGTAGTCGTAGTAGTTGTAGTCGTTAGTAGTGAGTAGTAAGTTCGTCGTAGTAGTTTAGTAGTTCGTTAGTAGGTAGTAGTAGTAGTTTGTAATAGTTCGTCGTAGTAGTTCAGTAGTAGTAGTAGTTAGTAGTGTAGTAGTAGTTTGTGGTTGGTGGTTGGTAGGTGGTGGTGGTGTTAGTAGTAGTAGTAGTAGTAGTCGTAGTAGTAGTAGTAGTAGTAGTAGTAGTAGTAGTAGTCGTCGCAGTCGTAGTCGTAGTAGTTGTAGTAGTCGTAGGAGTCGTAGTAGTCGTATTAGTCGTAGTAGTCGTAGTAGTCGTAGTAGTAGTAGTAGTAGTAGTAGTAGTAGTAGTAGTAGTAGTAGTAGTAGTAGTAGTAGTAATAGTAGTAGTAGTAAGCGTAGTAGAAGAAGTAGTAGTAGTAGTAGTAGTAGTAGTAGTAGTAGTAGTAGTAGTCATAGTAGTTGTAGTAGTCGAAGTCGGGGGGGGGGGGAGGGGGGTTTTTTTGTTTATTTTTGCGTAGTCGTAGTGTGAGTAGTAGTAGTTAGGTTGTAGTAGTAGTGTAGTTTTAGTATTAGTAGTAGTAGTTAGTTGAGTAGTAGTTGTAGTATCGTAGTAGTAGTCGTGTATAAGTATAGTAGTAGTAGTAGTAGTAGTTAGTAGTCGTAGTAGTTTCTCGTCGTTAGTAGTAGTAGTAGTAGTAGTAGTAGTAGTAGTAGTAGTAGTAGTAGTAGTAGTAGTAGTACGTAGTAGTAGTGGTAGTAGTAAGTCGTAGTAGTAGTAGTAGTAGTAGTAGTAGTAGTAGTAGTAGTAGTAGTAGTAGTAGTAGTAGTAGTAGTAGTAGTAGTAGTAGTAGTAGTAGCAGCGG